AAAAAAAAGTCGTTGCTCCTCCTGAATGGCATCATGATGCTGTTTGGTGGGAGAAGGAAGATGATGGGCAGCTTTGGCCTTGTCGTCCTGTATATCTGTCCTGCCCTTGAAAAGAAATTCGCTCTGTAGAATTGGGATGTATCGAGCGCGGGGTCATATAATATAGGAAATTGAAACTTCCATGATAGTGCTGTTGCGGCATCTTGAGGTTGTCGACGAGATGATGCAAGTAAAAAGGTACCGCGACGAGATGTAAGAAGTGTCGAGTGACTGGAAATTGTTAGTGCAAAGTAAGCAAGTGGAGCGGGAGCATGGACTCGCTATCGTTATCGCTATCACATTAGGTAATGTCGAGACCGCGGGAAGTGGAATCCCCTGAGCCCCTTACCGTGGGTTCCCTGTTCCCCCGGAATGCCAGGTGGTTCCACCACAGCCGAGGGCCCAAACGGGGCGGCAGGCACCTCAGCGGCCCCAGTGAGCCGCGGTGGGTGGAGGGGTTCCATGACAGTTCCATGGGCCTGGGGAACCTCCACGGAACCAAGTGTCAACAACAACCTAAGGGAACTATCACAAGCCTCGTTTGATCCAATCACTGACTGACTGTCCTTTCTCCCCTGTCTCTAATTCTGCTGGTCTGCTGCATTGCTGACCTTCTATCAACACATCCTCGGCCGCGCGGATCTACGACTACTCCTCTCCTCTCTTGGGAGACCCTGTCCCGTCACACACATCGAGGCGTCGATCTACCTACCAACGCCATACCGAGTAACCACCTACATAGAGTCAGTCAGTCTGACCGAACATGATTACTTTGTGATTATTGCATCTGGATCCGAGTTTCCCCTTTTTGCGACAACTGCCACTCCTACAGAAGAATAAATTCGTCCCGATTCCCGCGCATAGACCTCCAACATGACACAGGACTCACCCTCTCTAAAAGACTTGCACGTCGTCGGCAACGGTGTCTCTTCAGCCTCGTCCACCACTTTCAGTTCAACTGCGCCCTTTCTCCCTTCAGAGACCAACTACACAACAACAAGTACAACAGACATGGCTACCTCATCGGTCTCCAAGATCGTCAGCCAACCTCGCAGCCTTGCCGAGGTATGCGCCGCCTTGCGCGCAAAGCTCCTTGCCTTCCTGGCTCTTCACTCCAACGATGAGACGGTACAAGGCACTCAACGACGGGCCCGTGATGCTATGGAGGTGATAGAGGAAGCCTTGCGTCGGTATAGGTACGTTGGCCTTCTCAGTTCCGTTACCATCTCATCAAGCTCGCTAGCTAACATGATGGCAACTAACCCAACCACCACCCAGACCCGAAGAACTCTCCCTCTCCTACAACGGCGGCAAGGACTGTCTCGTCCTCTTGATCCTCATCCTCGCCTGCTGGCCCGCCTCACTCCAACCGCCATCCTCCTCGTCCTCCTCTTCCTCCTCGATCTCGAACTCGTCAAAACAAACCCTCCCCCGCCTCCAATGCATCTACATCGCCCCGCCAGACCCCTTCCAAGAAGTCGAGGACTTCGTCGCCACCACCACAGAAGAGTACCACCTGGACCTAGCACGATACGCCCTGCCCATGCGCCAGGCCCTCGATTGTTATCTGGACGAGAAGCCCCACGTGAAAGCCGTGTTCATGGGCACGCGAAGGACCGATCCACACAGCGAGTTTCTAGCATCTTTCACGCCGACGGATAAGGGCTGGCCGCAATTCATGCGGATAAATCCCGTCTTGGATTGGCACTATGTTGAGATATGGACTGTGAGTTATGATACCCAAAACGCCATAGCCAAACACTTGCTGACACTGTATCGCTCAAAACAGTTTATCCGCCAACTCGACATCCCCTTCTGCTCCCTCTACTCCCAAGGCTTCTCCTCCCTCGGCGGGACAAAAGACACGCGGCCCAATCCTGCATTGGCACTCAACGCCGAAGGCAACAAGTTCCGGCCGGCGTACGAATTGACGCGCGATGACGAGGAACGGCTAGGTCGCGATCGATAGTCGATTCATTTCTCAAGAAACCACGATTTGCGAATTCACCATTACCGAGAGAGAAGAGCATATATACCTAGACCGTCCTCACCGAAGACGGAGCTTTAGTGAACTCAGGTTTATATTTTCGAGAGGGAAAGGAAGAGGAAGAGGAAGAAGAACTACAGGCCGAGCGAAGGGTAGTAGAGATGACAGGGCAGGAGCAAGAGTAAGAGCAGGAACAGGAGAGGAAAGAGAGGGGCTCTCTGCTTCCGAAAGACGGAACATACTACAACTACCATCTACATAGACAGCGTAGAGAAGCATGGCGGCGTTTTTAGAGCGTTTGTTTGTTTTGGATATATATCACAGCTTATTCATTCAAGAGGATTGTCTGCTAATCCGTTTCTGTGAATGTAGTGCTCAGCTTCTACGGGTTGAAAAAAACATGGCTTGACAAGTTTGAGTTTGAAACGGCACAGTTCTCAACAGTTTTGTGAGGTCGGGTACTATCAAACAAACAGCAGCTTGCCTTTTTGTGAAACTGTCCCTGTGGGATGTGATGCTGACTTGGTATCCGATGGTAAGGTTACAGCGGTTTGTTTTCTGCAAACCTTTTGGGTATAAAACCTCTCTATCCTCCCCCTTCCTCTCACTTTCCTTGTTTACTTTTCCCAGGTGGGCAACATGGTCTGGTAAGCAGAACCCAGCTAACTTATCAAAAAGACAGAAAAGTGAAGCACTCTGGATCGGAATCAGATGGGAGGGAGCCTATGTGGACGCTTGACTTGGTAAATTTGTGATGCTGGATTGTCGCCAGGACTGGACTTGGCACTGAAATCAGTATCATCACTCGATCATCACTCGATCAACAGCATTTATCAGCACCCGAGAAGACACGATCAACATTTTCAAACCATCAATTAACTTCAAGGCAACGCTATGCTACGCCTGGGTATTCCAACTATCCAATCGATCATTCCAACTCCTACGGCTTCCTGTCGAATCCAAAAAATCATTCCATCGAAATTCGAGCGCCAAATTCCATCTAGATATCTCAGCTCCTCGTATGGTTTCCCTCACCAACCCTGCCATCAAACGCTTGCCTATGCTGCTTTTCATATGGTTCCGATCCAGTTTGCTTCCCTTTTCTGTCTCCCCAGTTGCTTCGGTTCTACCTACTCGGTCATGTTGCGCCGTTACTTTAGAGCTAGGTACATGGATCCGAGTAGTGGCATGTAGAACCACAACCGGGGAGTAATGGGCGGATCGGAGTTGTTGTTTCCCTCTCAGGGATATCTGGTGGTGACAAGCGTCATGATAATGGATGGTAGTTGATAGTCCACTTTCCTTCCCTTCCTCCCTCCATCTCCTAAGAAACCCTGTCGATAACCAGGTCGAGGATAACCTATCAAGGCATCCTACGTCTAGTCAAAGCATCGAGGATGAACCGAAGGTCATCAGCGTCAATGTCGTCGTCGCTATCCAATTCGATGGGGCGGTTGAGGAGCTCCTCGGGGGCGTTGTCGAAAATGTCGCGGTGGTCACCGCCATGGAAAAAGTCATCATCCTCGGGGATGTGGTCGAGGAAGTGGTCGTCATGGCGATGATGGCGATGACGGTGGCGGCCCGGATCGGGTGGTGCTGGTGCTGGCGATGCTGATGGCCACGGCCATGGAAGAAGTCATCTTCCTCGCCTTCAGCCACATGGTCCGGAATACCAGCTGCCCGTCTCTCACGGATCCGCCTCTCTGGCTCGTGAAGGTCGAAGATGGGACAGGCGCACAGTGGTCCATCACCATGCCCGTTAGGGTGAATGAGTAGGCAGTGGTAGCAGAAGTATGTTTTACACTTGATACACCTGTAAGAATGTCAGTAACTCTTTTTTCTTCTAGCTTCACACGAGATGGGGGTTCTCACTTCACCAGGTTACAGCCACCATCTCTCTCGACGGTCATGTCGCAGGTTGGACAGGTCCGCCAGGCCTCATCCCGCCTCAGTTGTCTGAACTGTCGATCGGCCTGCTCCTCCGACTGCTGCTGCTCCTCTGTCCTTCTTCTGTGGCCAGGACAACGTTCTTGGTACCTGGCTCGGTGCGCCCTACCTTCACAGATGGTGCAGGTCACCTGTCGACAGTGGTGGCAGACGATCTCGGTCTCTGTGCGACCTTCGACGCCCGTGAAACGCTCCGGGACTAGCCAGCCACAGTCCACGTTCGAGCACCGCGTGCCCGTATGCTCCCTCTCCATGCGTACCTGCTCAGTACGAGCAATGTACTGCCTGATCATCTCGACACCGAGCAGCCGGCGGAAGCGCTCGTTGCGCGCTCGGACTTCCCGAGAAGGGTCCTCGTTTCCAGGCTCGTTGACGTGAACGTAGAAGCGGTTGCCGCAGCAAGTAGGAGGGAAAGTGTCGGCGTTGCGTCAGACGTTGCCGTCCATGGCGTTACTGAAAAACGACTGGAGGCATTGGCCACAGTAGTGGTGCGGATCTGGGGCGCAGGAGGTCGTAAGGACCTGGGAGCGTGGAAACTCCTCGGTGCAAACCGCACAGGGAACGAGGTCGTTGCCGTCGACACTGGGCTCTGGGACTGGTGCCGTGGCGGCGTTGACTGTGGTGGCTGTGGCGACTGGGGCTGCCGGTACTAGTGCCAGTACCTGGGGAACTAAGGGTCTGTTGACGGGCGTTCGGCGCGCTTCGACGGAATTGGCCCTGGCGGCCGGTACGTTACCGCCGTGCTGGCGGTTTCGTTCGTCTGTACAATCTAGCAGTTAGCTTCACGTTCTTTTTTGAGTTCCAAGGTTGGCTTCATACCTCTCCTAGTCACCTGTTCTAGGTGCTCTTCCCGTCTCCTCTCGGCCCCCATTTCCTGCCTCCTCTCCTGCTCGTGCCTATCCCGCCGAGCCTCCTCTTCCTGCCTGTTTTGTTGAGCTCGCTGAGCTCGACGCTCGGCTTGACGGGCCTCCAGCCGGTCTAGAGCAACCTCCCGGTCGATGCGATCGAGGAAGTGGCGATTGCGGCCGAGTAGCTCCTGGGCGCGGGCCCAGAGCCCTTCCCTCCTTGGAGGGGGGACTGGCGGAAGGGGTCTCGATGGTAGGTCCCATCTAACCATCGGGGGAGGGAATCGGAGAGGGGGCCACGGGTGCCTCCTCTCTTCCCTCTCAATGTGTGGAGGAGGTCTGTCAACTGGTTCGTCTCGGATGACGACTGTGATACGGGTAGGGCGTCGAGGGGGATTCTCCCGGCGGCTACTGCCCTCTCCGTTGTCGGTGTGGCGGCGGTACATCTCGGTAGATGTGGGCTGGTTGTCGTTTTGAAAGCTTCGGTGCTTGTTTCAAGGCAGTGATAGTAGGCGTGGTCGTAATCGAATGTCCGGGACGATGAGGAAAAGAAGAGGGAGTTTGGCCTGGATCTCCCTGGGCACTTGTAGAAACTGGGTGCCCATCTTTTCCGGGGTATTTTCATCCATCTAGAGCATTGGTGTCGTGGATCAGAGGCGTGAATTCGGGTGAATGAGAAGGGTGTACTGGCCCGGCCTTGTCATGGTGGTCGTACTGATGGAAAATGTCCGAGAGACACAGGACTCGTGAAAGATGAAAATCGAGGTGAATGGATCAAGAGGTTCCATCATCGCCGGCTGTGTATAAAGACTACGGGCTTGGGGTGTAAGTGAAGAGATGGTATGACCATATCAGCTCATCAATTTTTTGCTTGGGTCTTTAGTTGACACACTTCCTCGGCCTTCTGATGGAGCGCGAGATTATTGTTGACGATGACACATTCATCCCGAGCTACCCCTTGCGACAGTCCTACGCCCATCTTCCGTCTTGCATCAAATGTTTCTGGGATCCAGTAACCACATGTCAGGCATGTTGACTATTTCCCAAGATGACCGATGGACGGCCTCAGTGGCTGACAAGACGGGAGTTGATGAAGTCAACGTCTCCTTTTCGGGGGTGGTGAAGCGAAGTGCCACATACGTGGAGTCAAAGAATCGGAAATGCTACCCGGGGCAACAACGGCGCACTCAAATAGAAAGAAATATATATAAAGACGAAGAACGCGCTGTCATGAGAGCGAGTGTCTGTGTACGAAAGACTAAGATGACAACCGGAAAGGGAATGAAGAACCGCTGGCTAAATGTAAATCATCTCCCCAGGGTAGCTTCCGTGAACAACCTGTAGGTACGCTTGGTCATTCCCTTCTTTCCCTCTCAAAATACCCCGAGTCCCTCACATGTCTCGAAAAGAAGGAAGTTGCGGCTAACACTGCTCCTTGAATCACTGTTTCCCTCTCCCGTCTTCACCCCGTCCCATCGACAATCTCATTGCTCATAGGCCCTCTACTTAATTGTAGTTTGGACCAGAAACAGTGAGGAAACATGAAACAAGCTAGGACAGCCTTCGGAGCTTGACAATCCCAAAAGCGATGACTTGACGAATCTGGACACTTGAGCCCATCATCACTTCCAAAACTCGTTGATCGATGTGGTTAGTTGAGGACGCCAAAGTCACTGGTGATTCATCCAACAACTTGCAAGCATGAATCTGAACGCCGACAAATCAGACCAAAATTGGATTATTGATCAGTAACACCCAAGCTCCATGCGCTCTTCTATTATGCTCGCTTACAACGGGTTCAAGTCAAAAACAAAGTCACACAAATATTTTCACCCCCTTATACATTTCCATCCGCCCTTCCACTGGCCGGACCCATCTCAGCCTCCGAATCACTCCCACTCCCACCCCCCTCTGCCTCCTTCCCATCCACACATTCTTTGCCACTCTTTTTCTCATCACCACAGGCATCACTCAGGAACTTTCCACCCTCAACATCCCCCACCTTTTCCTTCCCCTCCCCCCTCGAAAACAAAAACATCCCACCCACCACCGCCTTCCCCCCTCCACTGACCGTCACCGCAACCGCACTCCCCACCCACCGATAAATACACGCTCCAACCAAACTGCCCACCGCCAAACTCACCAAAAACGCAACCCGTCTATTCCTCCCCCTATTCTCCTTCAGCGGCCTGCTCATCAAGCGCTTATCAATAACCAAATCCACCCACGCCGCCGTCGCCATAGCGGTGCTAATCTCCGTCATGTTCAGACTTCTTGACAGAACCACCTGACTCCCCGCCGCGGACGCCAAGAGGGCAATACACACTAGGGTTCTCGTGCCCGTAACGGCCTCCATGGTATCGATGCTGCCTGACTCGAAGAGGAGTTTTCCAGGGGTGTTGGTGTGGTAGTTACCAAACTGAAGGGCGGCGGCGATGAAGACGAGAGTGGTTTGGATGGTGTTGGTGACTAGAAGCCAGAGACGCCGGCGGGGACCGATCAGGTGGCCTAATTGGCCGGTGAGGTAGGCGCTCCCCAAGAAGAAGCCGAGGGAGGTGGCGATGTTGGCGGTGATGAACATGGAAGGGTTGAATTCGGGGAGGGCGGCGGCGAGGAGGAGGAAGACGGTGTTGCCGGTTTGGTTGGAGGCGAAGCAGTGGAAGTCGGGGAAGGAGACTGCGTCTGTTTGATGTCAGTATGGGATATTCGGCAGATATACATTATATGTATGTTTGATGAGGGAAAGAGGGATGGTGGAAAGGAAGAAGAGAAAACGGAAAACATACCTTGTAACCCAATGCAAAATGTCAAAAGAAGAAGTTGAATCTCAGCAAAGGTTGAAGGCACGACATCCTCATTGAGGTATGCCCATGTTCTTGAAGCAAGGGACTGCTGGGATGATGATGATTTGCTCGGTTGATGACATGAATATTTCGGACACCGGAACTCAGTAAGTGTATGACTCGGGTCAACCGTCTGGGTCTTTGGCGGTGGTGGTAGTGATGGTGGTGTCATCATGGTAGATAAACACTCGGTCTACTTCTCCGGTAGAGACACAGGATAAAGACGATGAGACGAACACCAAACTAGAGAGGTCAACGAAAGGACTCTCTTGTGTTTAATTCAGTCGAATCGAGTCGAGTAGAGTACCCCCTGTGAGGAAAATGGATGTACACCTGAAGTGGTTAATCTACAAGAACGCAAGAATAGTCCAACACAACAAAGAACAGAGTCGAAGAAGATATACAAAACCAAGGTTGGTATCACTGGACACCGACCGACAATCAAACAAACAAACAATTCTTCCCGGCCGGGCATCATCCAGGATCAGTAGAGGTACGTATTCAAGAATTTCACCGCTTCTCCGTACAAGCAGTCCTTCATGGTCCCCGACCAACAAGACTCGACAAGACAAGACAGACTTCAGTTGCTCGTCCTGTCAAGTTAGTTCCCGATCGGTATTTCTCCCTTGTCGACAATGCCCATGGTCCCCGGATACCTATGGTAAGTAGCGTACGTCGTATATGACTGGACGGCGACTGGGGACGGGACGGGTGGTGGCAAACCCTTCCCTTGACCAAAAAACGGGCCGGGACATGGGATGGAATGGGACGGGGATGGGATGAACGCATCCCGTATGGTAGGGAACATGGAGCCGTAGGGCAGGGCAGGGCAGGGCAAGGCAGGCACGCGGTTTGACCGACACCGACACCCGTCCGTCATTGTATTTGAGATTCCGATCAATTTTCACCGGGGCTTCAGTCCCTAGAGGTACCCTGCCTGATATGCAGTACATACCTAGGTATCGATTGGGACCAGCAGATAGGTAGCGAGGTACGCAACACTAGACTCTTTGGGTTATCAACGACTGGTACGGTACTATCGAGTTTCGAGGTACGATAACGCGGTGGTAGTCGGTGATTGATAGGTAGGTGGTAGACGGCCTGTGGAAAAGATATCGGGGACAGAGATAAAGAGGAGTGCCCGGTATCTGGTATCTGGGTACATAGGAGATTGACCGAGCGGTTCGGTATCAAGCATGGAAGGTCTTGGGAATCAGTTAATACCAATGGATATCATAACACATGACACATGTCACCCTTCCAATCTTTGAATCCCGCAGGCGGCAACCGAACCGGTGAGAAACACTTGCTTCGCATATCTCTAGGCCTCTTTTGGGTTTCTAGTTCAAGTTCATCTTCCATTCACGGCGGGGGGGAACAAGACCAAGGATCAATCGAATCGGTGTACAACCTATGTCTAGCATCCAACAGAAATCCAGAACTCGACCGCCCCAAGTCGCCTACCCTAGTGTACACTATGTACCTCACCGTCCACGTGCCAGTGGAATGCCTTCGTTAGCGTCGACGTGTACATACCTACCTAGTACACTACATAGTACTGTTTGTACTTGGGTTGCGGGAACGGAACGGATCGTCAACAACTGGAACACTCCGTCGTGGTTGTGTTTCCTTGTGGAAAATGATACGTCCATGGGGAGGGAGGTGATGTTCGAATAACAAGTGCAGTGGACCGCCCGATGGACCGGGCGACTCCCGTCAGGTCCATCCAGTCTCTCCCCGCCCCCGCCGCGCTTAACTTTGATGTGCGTCGGGGGGGAGGGGGCTCCACTGATGCCGACAAGAGTGGATCGGATATCGGCCTTCTCCACTTCTTCGCGGCTATCGGATGTCGGGGTGGGACGGGGACCGGGGTAGTGGAGCTACTTGGCTCCGGGGCCGGAGGGTGGTGAGGACCTGGAGGATGCTGGCTGTGGAAGTCTGCCAGGAAGCAATGAGCTCTTTTTTTCGTTCGTACATAGACTCAAACATCAAGTCACGGATCCTCTCCTCCTCATAACTTTAATGGCGAGATACTCCTTCCGGTCACTAACCCCATGCCATGCCAAAACGGCAGGCTGGTTATGAACCTTTGAGTGAAAGAAGGAAGAAGATCACCGATAGCCGCCCCGACAGCCGACCTTCACTTCACTTCACTTCCGCACCGCCAACTCATCTTTATCTTTCTTCGATGGGTCTTCCTTCGATCACCAATCTCCTTGCCCGCCCGACCTTTCCACGCCTGACCAATCAAAGACGGGAATGTGATGACTTTCACTTACACGATATCCTGCTCCTTCCCTTTTCGGAATTCTTTTTACTCGATCAGATCGGATCGGTTAGTTTCACCGCTGGATGGCTCAAAAGCCACGCACTGTCACTATTTTGGCGAGAGCAGGATCGGTGAGTACGAAGAATTAACTACTTAACTGGTCCAGCCAGTGAGTGGTGTTGCTGTTATCAATTGGTGAATTATTCGAGTTGAGCAAAGTCGTCATTTGACAAGAGCGAATCGTCGATAATGGCCGCGAGTTTATTGTAATCATGATGAAATTGACCCGGCTGTGTCATCTGATAATCTGAGCAGAGCATGCTTGCTGCTGTGGATTTCCTACTGCTATCGAGATCAGTGTTGCTCACGGTTGCCAGACCAATATCACCACTAATAATAGAGGAACTTTCACGCCCGTCACAAGAACACAGCAACATCAGCATGACCCAGCTGAGATGTACATGACAAACAAGAAACGCTTTGGTATCATCTCTATATGACTACATGTATATGAAAAGTGAACCCCAACGCTTTCCCTCGTTTGCGGTAAAATCCACCCAGGCAACAATCATGGGATACATATAGACCCTTGATCTTCATCATAAACCTCCTTTGGTATCTTAAAAAGAATCAAAATATTGACCATGCCCACAAGAGTCGCATGATGAGATAACGCCTGAACCCCGTCTATGGTAGTAGTTAAACCCGCTCTCAATGCCATTCATACGCCCGTTTTGTTTTACCAATCCCAGACAACAAACGACATCCACTTTTTAGTGAGTGCCGTTGACACCGTTGGAGACACCATTGGCAGCATCCGCAACAGCGCGCTCCAAAGCCTGGAGGACATCGGCCTTGAGGTCCTCAGCATCCTCAACACCGCAAGAAATGCGGACAAGATCATCAAAAATACCGACGGCCTCGCGCTGGGCCTTGGGGATACCAGCGTGGGTCATGGAGCTAGGAATCTCGCAGAGGGACTCGACACCACCGAGGGACTCGGCAAGAGTGAAGATCTTGGTGTACTGGCAGAACTTCTCAGCAGCAGCGTGGCCGCCGTGGATGCGGAAGCTCAACATGCCACCACCCATACCGTTGCGGTGCTGCTTGAGAGCAATGGCGCGGTGGGGGTGCGACTCAAGGCCGGGGTAGTTGACCGAGATGACAAGAGGGGAAGCCTCGAGGGCATGGGCAATGGCGGTCGCGTTGGTAGTGGCCTCACGAGCACGGAGATGGAGGGTCTTGGCTCCACGGTGGGCGAGCCACGAGTCAAAGGCAGAGGGGACGGCGCCGATGGCGTTCTGGAGGAAGGAGAGGCGGGCATAGAGCTCGTCGCTATTGAAGGCGGCAACACCCATGACCACGTCCGAGTGGCCGTTGATGTACTTGGTCACACTGTGGACGACGATATCGGCACCATGGTCTAGCGGGTTCTGGACGTAGGGGCTCAGGAAGGTGTTGTCGACCACGACCAGGATGCCACGCTCATGGGCGGCGGTAGCGACGGCGCGGATATCCACAAGGCGCAGGGTCGGGTTGCTGGGGGTCTCGATCCACACGAGCTTGGTGGCATCGGTGATGTGGTCGCGGATGTCCACCTCGATCTCGGGAGTGAAGGTAACCTTGACGCCGTGGGCCTTGGCAACCTGGGTGAAATAACGGTGGGTGCCGCCGTAGACGTCCGAGACCGAGATGACGTGGGAGCCAGCGGCGAGCGACTGGAGGATGTTGGCCGTGGTGGCACTGCCGGACGAGTAGGCGAGGGCATACTTGGCGTGCTCGAGAGCAGCAACCATCTTCTCAAAGTTGGCGCGGTTGGGGTTGCTGCTGCGCGAGTACTCGAACTCGCCGACGGGCTTGCCGACGGCCGTCTGGGCAAAGGTGGTGGAGAGCGAGATGGCCTCGATCACGGCGCCAGTGGCGGGGTCGTGCGGGGATCCCGCATGGACGGCGAGCGTACCGAACCCATGGACGGGCGAGGGAGCGCGGGGGGGAGTGGTAATGGGGTGGTCGCTGGAGGCAGTCATTTTGTCTGATTTAATTTGGCGATCTTGCTCGATTGGCGCGATTTGAGAGGGAGGGAGGGTCCGATTGCGCGGGTAGGGCGTCTAGGTACCGTCTAGCTGCGTAGTTGGTGTCGGTAGTTGCGGAGATGTGACGGAGATGGCGCCAATTGGTGATGGCTCGGTCGACGGTCGGCGTGGTGGTTGCGGTTTCGGGGCTGAAGATGGAGAGAATGACGGACTTCTTATGGGTTGTGCCTTTTTTTTTGCGGGCCGGCTCAATTGTGTGATGGAATTTGGCGATGGCGCAATTCAGGTTTTTTGCCGCGGATCCACCCCCACACTGTTTCTTTACTCTTTCTGTTTTGGGACTCAGCACTTGAATTACAATGGAAGTAGTGTAGAATCTGCGACTGTGATGAAGACGCTTTCTCTTTTATATCGACAATTGTTGGACATGGACGAAGCGGTCAACTCGAATGACGACTCTGACCAAAGTGTTGTCGTGATTGCTCAGCAGGATTGGGTAATCATTAGCACCACTGACACCATCGACGACCAACAGCAACCACACTCGTAAGCCAGCTACTGGCACTATCGAATGATCAACTAACACTCAATCGAACCGATACTGGCCGCGCAGAACGGCTTTTCCGAGCGGTCACAACAAGATGGGCGTTCGTGGCTTGGGTGAGGCGCGCATCTCAACCTTGTCCTAGGCCTATTTCTGGTACCCTATCTGGTCGTGTTGTCGGCTTCTGGCTGGCTACACGATCTTGACCGAAAGTCCACCGTAGTCTTTTTTCGAGGTGCACATGGCAGTGCGGGAAAACCAAAAAGAGAGCCATTGGAAGCCATGGAAATAGGTAGGTAGGACTATGGCGGGATGCATGATGTCGGTGTGACACGCAACGGCACTGTTGTGTAATGTGTAATACCTGAAGTAGTGTAGTGTATCCTGAATCTTGATCCGATGATGGATGACTTTCATCCGATCGATGGCCAAGTGTTTTGAAAGTTTAATATTTCTTGGCGTAAAGTCTATGGCAACTTGCGACGGCTTGGAATTAGTGTACATGAATACGCCTTGCGCAAAGCCAAGAGAGACTCAAACACAATTGCGCCCTTGTCATTGCATTGATGACAAACGAGTCCGAGGTGTGAGGCTGCTGACATATGTCTCTGTAGTTACTTGCCTTGGTAGAGAGATCCTCGAAAGGGTTTGTGACTTTAGTGTATCAAGATCCCAATATCAACGTCTCCCGTCTCGGCCCTGAGCATCAAAGCAATGCTTGGTGGTAATCGTGCTTCCCCATTCAAATTCATGTTCAACGCGCCGTGTTGGCAGATCACTCCATCATTCAGACCCGATAGACCCAACAGCGTGGACGTGGGGTAAAAAAGGTCAGATCAGAGGGATGCTCATCGTGTAAGCCCCGCGGTAAGGGATCATGGCGATTTCCCACGATTTACAGTCTACGTTTCCGTGAAGCCGGCTGTCGAGAAACAAAAGGCAACGGGATGGGATTGTCGAGTCAATTTGGCCAAAAGGTGGAGGGGACCCAACTGGCGATTGAAGAGCCTATCACAACAAGTCAGTCAGTCCTCACCCACCATGGAAATCGGACAGCATGGATGCTGAGGGGCCCAGAGGGTCCACTGAATAACCTCAAGAAAGGTACAGCTTAAGGACAGCACGTGTGTCTCATCCGATGCTTCTACACGTGTAGAGTGGAAGTATTTTAGCGTAGATGAAGGTCAATCCGTGCGTCATCAAATATTTCAATGCTCTTTTTTCGGATATCTCACCCAAGATACACAGACTCTCTTGTGCAGGGAACTCGACCATTCACGCCCTTAGCTGTCACTGCCCGTTTAAGTACAATTGACCCTATTCACAGCCGGACATGTGTCGACGGAACCTCTGACAATCCGACTCGTTGCACATTTCTCCCCAGTTCCCCAGGTTTTGGCAGTCAGCCTTGAATAACCACAGGAATGAACCGCTGAGCCTATGGCACGCGAGCTGCTTGCCCTTTACGAATTGGCTGGAGACGGGTGGCGGCACATGAGCCAATGGGTGTTTCCAGTCTCGATTCAGTCTCACCTGGTTTGTGTCTTTTCGCTGGTTGATATGTACCAGGCAGTTGCCTGTCAAAACTGCATCGTATCATTGAATCTGTCACTGCCTACCTGGAGGAGGAACATTCCGTACATGTAACGAAGCCATCCCTCCACTTTCCCGTGGCCCTACGCTACACAGTACACACAGACGGCAGACATGCCCATTGGCGGTCCCCTTTCCCCGTGCTTTCTTGACAAATGATCGTCCCGTCATTCTCTCCCTGCGCTCCACAAGTAGCGGCCCCACTCGGATCCGGTCCATCAGTTGGGAATGGCGTCATTTGATTGGCCTAACCAAAGCCCTGGATGAACGACGAGCAACAACTACGGGGTAACGACGGGGGCATTGACGGGGACGGGAATTGCGCGTCCGTCACCGAGATCCTCCTCCCAAAGTCGATTCTTCGTTGTCTCTTGATTCTCCGGTCTCGTCAAAAGCTTCACCGTGATCTCCTCGCCAGTTCAGCCCGACAATTGCAGTCCAGCTTCCCGGCCACCGTAATATGGAATCCCGGGTTCTTCCAAACCGCCACCAAAGGCATTAATACAATAAGAGATACCTTACAACAACCAAAACATCAAGATGCCTCCGCGTCGTTCCCACAAAAAGTCGAGGGCAGGTTGCCGCCGTTGCAAGTCGAGGAAGATCAAGGTATCTACAATCCATCGAAGAACAAAATAGCCAGACATCAAACATGGCTAACCCTTACTTGTTCTTCCACCTCCATCTAGTGCGATGAGGTGCATCCTCGATGCGGCAACTGCGTCAAGCACGGCGTCCCCTGCGACTTTGAACATCCCGAAATCATCCCCGAGCTTCAAGCTGCCCAAACTGCCTCCGTATCGAGTCCGTCGACCGCCGCCGGAACCCCTTATACTCCGGCATATTCTCCCGGCGCCGAGTCCGTATCGAATGCGTCGACATCGCGCTTCCAACGAGCACCGCCCTTGTGCCGCTCACCACCCTCCCAAGCTCTCTCGACAACCACTCCGGTCGCCCACCGAATGCTCGAGTTGAGATTGATGCATCACTACACCGCCATGACATGCAAGACTTTTACCTTCACCGCCCCCACCACGGAGCACATATGGAAGATTACCGTGCCAGGCATGGCTTTTTCGGGCTCTCAACACCTCACAGATGCCATTCTCGCCGTCGCCGCCCTTCATCTGCGAAGTCAATCCCCAAACGACAAAGACCTAGTCCGCGCTTCGCACGCATACATGGCGGCCTCTCTGGCCGAATACAGCGCAACACTTACCAAGGGCATCGACAGTACCAACGCCGAATCCCTCTTCCTAACCGCCTCCCTCATCGCTTTCCAATCAACAGCCACCCGCGTCTTCATGAAAGACGAATTGAACCTCGCTCAAGCAACCGGGAAGTACACCGAGGATTTCAACAAGCAAGGCCGATATTCAGCAGCTGGGTGCTACTCGATCCCCTTCTCGTGGTTCCACTCCTTCCAGGGCGTCAAAGCTGTCACCGCCGCCTCCTGGCAATGGCTACGCACCAGTCCCGTAGTAACAGAGGTGATCAACTCCCAAGTCGTCTTGCAACTCGACCTGGGGCTTAACCGTCCTACCTTCTTCGGCCATCTTCTAGATGATTTGAGTGAAGAGTTGGAAGAAATGGCCAACCCCTCAGGACCAGCATCATTACACCCCGATTCACCCGGACAACCCTTTCAACAGCGCCGAGTACCTGCTTCCCCAGAACTGGTGACCAGCACTCGCCAAGCATACCAGCATGCCGTCGCCGTGCTCAACTGGGCGCATAAAATCCCCCATAAAGGCGCGCCGCTAGCGTTTCCAGCAACTGTATCCAAGCGCTTCATCGAATTGCTAGAAGAGCGCCGCCCGCGGGCCCTTGCTATTCTCGCATGTTTCTTCGCCCTTCTCAAGTCCCTCGACTCAGTATGGTGGCTGCACGGCATGGCCCGCCGAGAAGTGTTGGGCGTGGTGTCTCTCTTCAACAGTGACTATTTTGGCCCAGAGGCCTACAGCAAATGGTGGCCGCACCTGGAATGGGCGATGCGGATTGCGCTGTACGAAACGCCGGACGGCAGCTCGACGATACCCCCTGAGGTGTGGGGGGCAGATTGGTACGCGGAGGAACAGGCGCTGGAGGGTCAGGGTGGACATAGCTATTACCGGCATATTGAGTTGCTGTGCCAGACGGGGAACTCGACGAGAAGCATTCCTGAGGTTCCCTGAGTAAACAGCCATTGATAAGAACGTGACACAACCAAAGGTGACGGACGGTATGAAGACCAAAGCGAGGAGGCAAAACCCCGAGAACAAGAGGAACACACGCCTAAGGACCACCGCCGGTAGGTGGTCCCTTTATATAGGCTTCCGGGAATACGAATACGATCCAAGTGGGACACTGGTTGATATCTATTGGTGTCACATACCCGGACGGCGGGCGTTGCCGGACGCAGACGTCAAATTCCGCGCCTATCAAACCGGCGGAACCGAACCTAACCGAGGAGAGGAGCAGATGTGTGGCTTCCCCCTTCTCGTAAGAACGCCATTCCAGCACGCTGACAAGGCATCACCAAGTCGAAAGAAGAACGTCAAACACATATAACTTTGACATAGACACGCGCCAGGATGGGGCGCCAAAGATTGGAAAGAACATTACAACATCATTGTCTTTTTTCTTATTAAACCATAGCAGAGGCGTTGAGGGAAATTCTTCACTATACTATATTAAGGAAACGAGAAGACATAGAAACGGGGATCTGAAGAAGGGGGGTGATTGAACCCGGGGTTGGGGTGGCGGAGAGACTTTGGAAGCTGGAAGTTGGAAGTTGGATGATACCCATGTGAAGAAGAGATGATGGATTGGAGAAAGAAATTTCATGAAGCTTTGGATGCTCTTTTTCTGTGTGTGTGCATGTGTCTGGCCAGAGTCAGAGAAAGGACATCGGATCGGATCTGGGATCTGGGATCTGTTCACTTGAACAGTCAGATGTGAAACTCCTATCTAGCTACTATATTGTAATGGGTAGGGATTTGGATATCTACTGCATTAAATACAAATAAAATACATGATCTCAGCTGCTCAGGATGGAATGAGAAGACTCTATCTTATGCCGATCCCATTGCTTCTAATCAGCTTCAAATCTCTGTAGGTGGCCCAGCTCTAAGTGTCTCGAGAGATTTTTGTGGTAACTTGTCTAGAGAACATAATGTCGAGTCTTGACTCCTCGGTGAGACTAGCTTTAGGTTCAGTTCAGACAAGCATAGGGAAACTAGGTAAACTCATAGTCAAAAAACTACTGTCCCCCCTTACCATGTTGGATATGTGGGGGGGGGGGGGGCCACTCTACCTACCAAACACAGTTCCTAGTACAGGCATTTCTTTCATAGGTAACCTTGCAGTCAACAAGATGTAATTGATCATTCTCGGCATGGACATTTGTTATCCTTCTTGATTTAAAATCAAATCAGTTTGGAGACTGCCTCACCAATAACCCCATCTAGGCGTTACCAAGCCGAGGATAGAAACACTGATTATTCTAGGTCTGTTTTTCCCTATAGCTGTATATAATCATGAAATTGTTTCGTTCCTTTCTAGGATCATAGATAGTTGAAATGTAGCAAGGTAGGTATCAAGGTACAATAGGGAAATAGGGGAATAACATGAGTGCCATGTGATAGTAGGCAGTGTGGTGACAATACTAGTATATTCTTCCAAAGAGAGCTGTAGCATGGAATAGCTGGTTTACGAATGAGAATGGCAAGACAATGGAACACACCATCGAGTTTGGTGATCTCTATAGCCTAGCCAAACTCGGTCGGTCGGTCGGTCGGTCCTATGGTCCCAGTATTGGGTGGTATAAGTAGCACGTAGATACTGGATGTCTAGGTCTAAGATTTGTAACATCTACCATTTACCGGCTTTAGCAAGTCAATTTCACAAACAACCCATCCATCCATAACTCCAGCATTTGGCTTTACTTCTTTTGGATGGTCTGATCTGATCTGGCTTCAATGTTCATCTTCCCCAAGAGCAGCAGCAGCAAATGATATATGATATAATGTAACAAAACTAAAAACTCCCAAAAACGCCTTGTGTCTTGGTGGATGATCGCAACAGTTGTGAGAAAAAAAAAAACGATTACACCTCCTCCTTTCTTCGCCTTATTCTCCCCACTCCCTATTCTTGCTCAACTCAAAATTCAACAACATCCCTCGCCTTCTTCTTCCTCGGCCCCACGATCCTGTCACTGACCTCCTTGACGCCCTCCATCGGCATGTCCGCATCATCAAAGTCCTCATCCACCACATCCCTGCTCCTCTTGAGACCCTTCATCTTTCTCGTCTGCAACTCGCTAAGATCCAGCTTGCCCATATGGATCCTACCAATCTTGTCACCGATGCTATCCATGCTGATGTTCTTCTTGGTGCGCTCCTCGTTGGTCTTGGGCTTGCGCATCGCCTCCTTGAGCATGTCCGCGTCGGGCTGCTGGAGACGGCCGAGGCGGAAGTCCATGCGGGGACCGTGCTCTTCGACTTCGACTCGGGGGAGCTTCTGGCCGGAACGCTTGGTGCGGATCAGGTAGGCGCGCAGGTGGAGGGTGGGTTTTGTCGAGGGGTCCGAGGGGTCGGTGGAGGAGGAAGTGGGCTCGTCGGCGGAAACGACAACGCAGTACTGCAGACCCTCGACGTCGATCTTGTCTGAGGGCTCGCCGCGGAAGAAGTCGATGAGCATGGATTTGGCGGTGGTGAAGGCGTTGGGGACGGGGGATTCGCTATGGTACTCGGTTAGCTACCAACATTCACTACTCCTTCCTGTATATCACAAAACCGGGGGACATACAAAGCAGTACCGGCGAACACCATCAAAGGCTTGGTGCCAACGGGCACCTTCTTGGTCTTGAACTGGGCGATGCTGCGGAAGGTCTCGGGGTCGAGGTAAAACTCGAGCATGTCGAGCATCTTGTAGTCGAAGGTACGGCAGAAGGTGATGGTGTGGGGTCTCTTCTTGCTGCTGGAGCCGAAGAGGATGAGCGAGGTGTCGTTCTTCTCGGAGAAGAAGGTCAAGGAGCTGGCATCCTCGAAGGGGTGGACGGGGTTCTTCTTGTGGAAGCGCTTGGCGTGGGTTTGGCGCAGCGAGTAGAGATCTTGCATGGCATCTTGGGTCTGCGGACTGTATTAGATTTTGATGATACCATCAAAATAGGAGGAGAGGATATGGAGGAGGCGACATACGACTTGGCTGCAGGTAGTGCCGCGAAGGAAGAGGGCGGTCTTGGGGTTCTCGTTGAGCTTGGGGGCACGCTTCTCGAGCGCCCTCTTGGAACGGGCTGTCCGCGGCTTGCTGTGAGGGGGGAAAAGGACTGTCAGCTATCGTTCGGTATGTACCATTGTCATGATCGATTGACCTACACTTGGCGGAGCATTTCGGCGGTCTGGTTATGCGATAACGGTAGTGGGTGGATTGGGTAGCTATCGCAAGGTGGTGATGTGGACTGGGGACTGTCTCCTTCACCTGCAAATCGTCGTCGTGATGATCGAGCAAAGAAATTCCAGAACGGCGCTTATCGATAAGAGGAGACCTTGAACTCAAAATTTTGTGGGGCGGGTGGGGTCAATGTTGTCCGCTCGTCCACTGGGCGCTGGCTTTCCCCTGCCTGTCGTTCAGGGGTTCACGGGCTGTTAGGTTCCATTTCACGCCTCAACGTCACTGCAACGGCAACCAAAAACATTTCCATTTCTGCCGTCTCATCGGCACAATTAGGTTGGTGATAAGAGTCAACCTTGACCTAGTTATTCTGATCACTCGATAATCACTTGCTCTTTGGAAACAAGCATTGAGCAGATCAATTGCCGAGTCAGCAACATCACAAAACTCTGGCATCACATTCACAAAATTGGCACAGTTGAGAACACTCCGAATATACAAAAGCTGTCATATTGGGAGAGTGTTTTCTTACACTCCGGGTGCACAATACGAATTTCTTGAAACTTGTCTACTCTGATTCAGAACCAAATTTCTCCAGTTATTGCTCCCGGCGAGTATCAAGAATGCTCTTATCCACCTACTACGTACGTACATGGCCTGTCTTGCTCTAACACCATGAAGCAGTATAGTAAAGCTACTCTCACAATGACCCAACATCATCTATTTCGCCATGTCCTCTCTCTCTCGTGATCGTCTTGACCGGACCATACATGTAGGATATCCATCCAACCTGATGAGACTCCCCGGTCTCTTTCCCAATCACGTCCAAACAGCCCGTACCCATCCATACTTGCATTGTACAACCTCCGGAACGCACATTTTTTGTGATGCCTTCTTTTACCGTTGTTCCATAGATCCTCGGCACTTCTTTCACCGCCTCCGCCTCCGTCTTCACTACTATGTATGCCACCGGGAAGTTACTTTCCAACGGTTTTGAAAAGGGCGATTGCATTCTCGTCAAGCCCAGCCCGTGCCGCTGAAACTGAAACTGAAACTGCCCGCAGCTGTATGTATGTACATGTGGAGTGTTCGGAAACTCGGGCATATGAAGGAATGCATTTTCGAAAAGTTCTATGCAGTCTCCCGCGACCGAGAATGGAGGTAAAGACAAAGGCACTGACTGGGATGCAAGTAAACTGTTGTGACTCGCGAACTCGTTGTAAGCATGTTCCCGTGAGGTGTGGTGCGGTGGGAGAAGAGAGGTTTGGTTTGGATGCGGGTTGTTCCGTGCAGGCGCTCGGGGAGGGACTCGGACTGGACAGGTAAACTGATATCGTGAGTTGATGGAAAGGAAGGAGTCTTCAGGATAGGAGGTATTGATAATAGTACGTCATTATAGTACCATCATTTCAGAAAAAGTTTTGGTCGTTCACGGTTTTGGTTTTTCAAATGGTGTCAAGAAAAGTTGGTGATGACAAAAGCATTTGTTGTTACTTGGCGATGGGGTGTTCCATGGTCAAAACATCAACGTCTCGGGATTGTCTGTTTGACCAGTAACACCGCACATCAAGGACCAGTCCCTTCACCTTACACCATGACATTCGTCATTAGAATGTACCTGACCTTCAAAAAGAAAAAGGTTCATCAATCCTAAGACAATAGACAAACACATTATGTAATAAAAAATGCAAAAATTCAAAAAGAGAATGTTGATCTCCCTCGGTAAGGATCGAACTTACAGCCTCCAGATTAACAGTCTGACGCGCTAGCCAATTGCGCCACGAGGGATATCCAGATGTTGTTGTAAGGCCATTCGAAACATCAACTTATATAGGTAAAACTCATAACAGTTCGGCTTTTTCAAGAAGTTGCACTCCCCTCTGCCTATTTGGAGAACCATCATGTCTTGCTTCATAATGTCTCTCCTCGGAACTATCGGGCCTAGGGTCCCTCTTTTTCTTCCTTTTCCTTGTGCATCTGTGGTGCTAGAACTAGTGTACGAAATCCTGAATCTGAATGCTGTGGCATACAACTTTAGAAAAGTTGTCTCACCCCACGTTCCAACTTCCTCGGAAGAATGTTCCTTGTCTTTTTGTGTTCATGTTCCGTGCTCTGACGCACTTACACTTGAATTGGGGCTCAAGTCAGGTTATCTTGTTCTTCTTCTTTTTCTCTAGCTGGGCGCCAACCGAAAACGAGTTGATGACATTGACTGGTCTCGCCACCTTTGCTTCTAGCCCGTCTTGCTGAGAGTTCTGTGCCGCGAGCGGCGGCCGCCGCGTTTTCTGACCAAGCAAATGGGAGCCCAGCTGAAAAGACATGTTACATACATGTTCAGCTCCCTTCGAAAGAAGCACTCACTGCATAGCCGTATCGGTACACGTATGACATGTGCTGAGAAGCAACTCGATGCTGCCATCACCGAACTACTCATGTCTGTCCCGTTCACTATCCCGGGACGGGACGTATAGGATTCCAAGGGCGGGTATGTAAATCCGGCAAGGGCTACAATGTTGGCCATTGGCACACACCGGAAAGGCATCTATCTTTACGTAGGTAACCACGCACGCCATAGCTCTCGATGATAGACGTGGGGGTTACATCCCAACCTCTTTCACAACGGCCTTCTCACTGGTTCACGGTCTTAGTGAACCCGATACCGAGTGAAGATCTTTTAGTTCTCAGTAATTCCCTATCGTACGTTTTCTTTCCACGTTTTTAGAGTTTCTTGTTATCTGGCACTAGTGAAGCAATAATGGATTTTCCGGCATGTCTCGGGTTCCGAACTGCATCGTCCTGTCCGTGTCGTTAGTCGTCGCATAGATAGTCACATGTGTGTGTGTGTGTGTCTTTCGTGGGCCATTGGCCCTACGTATCCTGGCTTTGGCTTTAGTGTATGTAGAGGTCTGGAGAAAGAAGACGTAGATCTATGGACGCAATCGCGCGGCTCGTTGAGGAAAGCTGTGGGTAGGATTGGATTAGCCTGCGCGGCTCGTTGCCGATCTCTACTGAACTCCAGGTCAAGAACCAACGGAAACAAACTGAAGACGGCACTGGACCAACCGACTAACCGACCGATAATCCGAACGAGTGAGGCCATCATGCCGTATTTCCTGGCTGCACGCTTTTTGTATTTTCTGTTGTGCTCTCAGAACTTCAGCTAAGAGTTCCGGTTGTACGACAGCTGAGGCTGCGGGCTCGCTGAGACCGAGTAGTAGCAGCTACCTTGGGCCAGACTGCGCTGCCTGAGGATGGAGGGCTTGGTGAATATTGACAGTAGCTATCCCCAAGTAAATATGAGGCGGCATTGCCATCGGGTGAAGAGTATGTGTGGCGTTGTGATTGTGCAGTTTGTAGCTCCATGGCTCAATCTCTGCCGCAGAAAGCGGCTTGCATGCAAATTGGACGGACGCCTTCGAGGAGGCGACCCGGCACTTTTTGTGATGGAAGCCTACAGCGAACAATAAAGTGGTATGGGTGGAAGGCGTATCGCGGCCGACATGAGGCGCTTTCCCAAGACCCAAGTGCCGGCCGACTCTTTAAGGAGGATTTCTTGCTTTCAAGCGCAGAGCCTGACCGCTTTTCCACCACTTCCTTTTGTGCTTGTAGTGGATATGTTTCAAACCAGTTAAGACAACCCAGCAATGGACGAGCGGCGGCTGGTTCGGCGAGCGAAGGGGGTACACTAAATAGTTTGTGAATGGAGTGTTCTTGGCTTTCTTTTCGATATCGGAATTTTGTGGTCCTCCTGGATTCCTGGTAGAAAATGAGAAGTTCGAGTACACGTGGTTTAGCGTCGCACCCGGACTCGCTCGACTAGGGCCGGATCACCATTCCCCGGGCTTTAGGAGGTATCCGGTCGGTCAAGCTCTAGTGTATACTGCTTCCATGCCCCTGCTGTGTATTGTGATACGGATTCCTCTCTCGTGTTCGGTTGTGCACCACACAGCGAGGGAACCCCGAACATGAAGCTAGAGAAGCCAAGATTGTTGGAAGCATGCCCTGTCTGGCTATGTTGGTCTGCAGATTTGTATAGTGTAGTAATAAACCCGCGCTGAACGGGCGAATAACCGATGAAGCTAACCGTTGTGTGTTTCTGGCAAAGTTTCTTTTTCGATAGCGCCGTCCCGTGAAATCGTAAGCGAACAGATCATTGCAGCGTTAGTGAGGATATAAAAGGAGTCTTGGAAGCTAGCTAGGGAGGGATCAGGAAAAGGGCCCGTTCTATCGGGAATCGGAAGTCGTTCAATTTCCATGAGGTAGCAACGGGGATGAAGCGGGAGCGGGTCTCTTTTTCATTCCTCCCTGTCTGTGTTCGATGGATGGAATGAACATGGAGGAGGTGTGACTTTGGTGGGGATTTTGTTGATTTCCAGTTCCTGTTGCCTGCTCCCCTGACCGGTGTCGATGACGTAGTGGTTAATCTTAGCGGTTGCTTAGCGGGCGCATCCTATCATCTTGTAGCGTCCGGGATGCTTCCCTTAGGTTCCTTCTGCCAAACGTTGTCCCGATCCAAGACAGCGCGTTGTTTCGAGAATCAACAAGCAAAGAGACGGTTTTTGTCGTTGGCAGATAGTAAGTATGGGGAAGAGTCAAAGTTGGATATGTTCCCCAGATCAGCATGTGCATTTTCCATTGTGTCAATTCAGTTCCTGTTTTTCCAGCGGATGTCCCAGTACATTTCCAGGGACAACCTCGGTTCCATGTCTTGGGTATTTATGGGCGGATATCCGTGGTGGATGTGGGTCTTTTTTTTTTGTTCAGATCGATGATCGAGAGGCCGGGAGTGGTTGTCAACTTCCCTTCCATTCAAAGCTCGCTGTTTCTAGGAACCCGATTTTGAAGCCGACAAATGCAACCCCAGACCGGACTGTTTGTTACGTTGCATACCTCACCCATTTCGGATGAACACGCGGATATCGGATGGCTCTTTTTTTATGATTTCATTTTGGAAACTTTTTCTCTTTTCTTTTTTTCTTTTTCCTTTTTTTTTTTGTTTTCTTGGGAAATCCACTTCAGAGAACCCCAATAAGAATTGGAAGAGAAGCAGAATCTGTTCGTCGACACACTGACAGCGCCCGGTGTTCTTGATCCGAAAGCTGGCTTGGCGGTTGCGCTTTGGGGCCCAAATCAGGTAATATCTACGCCTTGGCGTCCATGTCGGCCATACTAGAAGTGGATTAGAGGGCCCCTCTTGAAGCGGTCTTGGCACATGATGGGGATCCACGCTTCAGCAGGGCATGCTTTTCCGCTGCTGAGAAGAGGTGAGGTGCAGCCCACAGCAGCCTCACATCTCGCAGCGTGGGTGAGGAATCCGTACAATACGCGGTAATTTATAATTCCCTTTACTGTGTAAATACTGGACCGGTGCTCGGAAAAACAGTGCTCATCTCGACAGTTTGCGAATAGGGGAGGAAGAGGTTCTGAAGAGACTGGAGAAACTGGAGATGGTTCGAGAAGGCCAATGCCCGGCTTGGATGACATGGTACCTTGGTTCGTCCGAATATTCTCAGCATCATAGTAACGGTCAGACTTAATTGCTCCTCACTTCTGAGGCAACAGGTTGGCCGTGCCTACTTATTTTTCTTCAAGCCATGCGGTGTTGTTAGAGGTACTGTACGTACAAGTCCGTGTCCACACCACACACAGGGAAAGCGCCTCCAGATTGTGATGTTGACGAAGGCAATCCCCACTGCGGGAGCGCGAGTCATAGTATTGATTGGAGGATTGTTGTGCACATTCTGCATCCGTTGAATTGGAGATTGGGCAAGAACGACTGAATGACCATTAAAAAAAAGAATTGGCAAGAGCAACAAACTGAAGTGGACGACGGGAAGTGGAGGTGGAGGGTTCCTTTTGCCGCTGTCCTCTTCCCTTCCTCTCGCTGCCTCTCACCCGACCTCTCAAGCTCTCCAGTCTCTTCAATCTCGAGACGCTTTGTGTTTCTTCTTGGTCTCTTCGTTTCGTTCTTTGCCTCACACCGAGTCGCAGACAGTTCGGTTGATACTACGGGTTGACGGAGCCTGGTTGACCTTGATTCTTTTACTTGTTCATTTCCCGAATCCTCCCTCACTTTTGTTGCTCAAGTTACATCAATACCACACTTTACCGTACATACTTACTTACCGAACATCACTTCCGTTGTTGTTACCACTCTCGGCTCCTGAAATCATACCACCACCACCACCAACCACTCCCAACACAACATCTACTATATACAAGGAACAATCACAGGGCGGACTGTCTTCAGCGGCTAGCCTTTCCCCTCTACGGCTACGGCACTACATTCATACCTACCAAGCATTGGCATACCTCATTTCGCATTGCCCTGTCACTCCGTTATACTGATCGCTACCACCCCTTACCTTTGCTGTTACAGAACAAGAAAAGAGACACGCGAGAGACGACAGCACCCTTCCTTCACTTCGACACAGACACTAGGCTTTCACAAAGGGAAAGGAGTGGAAAAGAAAAGGTCAAGATATCCAACGGTACTTCGCCTCGGACCATTAGTACCGCCCGCCATCCAGTGTCTCAGCGAGCCTGTCTTAGGTCCCCGCCCACCCACTCATTATACACTACAGCCCGGTACCTTTTTTTTGCCCCTGGATTAAACAACTGGAAATCATCCCACTGCCCGCCAATCACCAGCCATACCGCCCACACCTCTTACAACCAAAACTGGTCTACTGTGTATAGATAGGTACTCTCTACCGGCCAGAGACAGCCTGTCTCTCTCAACCAAGTACCAAACACCAACCGACCCCCTCAATCCCGCCCGTCACTGCTATCATCCATATCGCCCTGTGATCATACAATGTTCTAAGACATAGCTGCAATTCAGACGGGCCTTTTCCCTGTTTGCTTGACTGCAACCACTATAGCTGCTAGAGTCCGGCAGAGGCGGCACCTAGTCTCACCAGTCAGAAGCCAACCAGGGGCAGTTCTAACCATATCCCTCCCCCTGTTACCTACCTGGTCCGGGTTCCAATCTCGAGGCTCCCCCGTCCCGTCTGACTGCCTGCTGGCTCTGTGCTGCTTGCTTGCTGCTTGCTGCTGCATTTTGCATCCGGCAGTATCCCAGCACCACCGCAGATTATCCTCATTCTGATAGTCTATACGGTACCCACGCCGCCAGCCCGTAGAGGTATGGACATCGTGAGACCAGTACAGGGCAGCAGGGCCAAAGCGCTGCACGCTTTCGACTCTCCAAAGAGTCTCCAATCGCGAACCACGGCCGACCACGACGGTAACCAAGCCAGCAAGCCAAGCTCGCCCTTTAGCAGGGGCAAATCGCGGCTCAACCGGACGTCAATCACCAGCATCACTCCGGCGCTCAGCTCCAGCGGAAACGACACACCGGTAGACCCAAAGCCGGAAGGCTTGCTGAAACTCGACATCCCCCGCACTGGCTTTGACACTGGGATGACTGGGTCTGCGCAGATACTTACGAAGACGACCAAGTCGCCCACCAGTCCATCTGAGACCCATATCCACAGGCTGTCCACCCTCTTTACCTCCGGCCGCTGCAACTCTCTTTCCAGTCGCATCGACTTGCTCAACTCTCCCACCAGTCCCATCTCCCCCACGAGCGCTCCCCCAACCCTCCCCGACCTCAATGTTCCACTTACACTAGACTTTGCTGCAGAGCTTGGACGGTCTTTTAGCATTGGCTCCAAGATCGAGCCTTTGCGTGGTGTGGCCTCGAAGGAAACAGTCGTTACAATCAAGGACGCAGAGCCAGAGACACCGCCCGCTATTGCGCCCGTTGCGCCCGCTATCTTAACCGTCAGCACAACCGAGCTGACCACAGCGAAGACGACCACGACCACGACCACGACGTCGACGGCCCCAATTATCCCTCCCAAGTCGCCAGCCCGAGAATCCCTTTCTCATAGGAACTCAATGATCGATCGTCGGCGATCATGGATGCCTGGTTCGACCACGACTGTGATCTATGACGCCAAGGAGACCGCCGAGGACCGTCGCACCAGAAAACTGTCGAAGCCGAATCATGGTACCGGAACGCAGGAGGCCGCGCTGGAGGATGTAAAGGAATTGCAGAGACCCAAGACGGCCAATGTAGAATCCTTTGCCGATTATGCGAGGCGCTCGTGGATCCCGTCTTCGAGGTCCCCGTCACTACCCCCCAAAACCCTCACAAAACAATCGCCAGTCGAGGGCGGGCACAGTGAAGGACGCAGGACGTCCAAAGTGGAAGGATTGCTCAGGCTTGGCAGTAAGAGGGATAAGTCCGATGGGGGTGTTAGTGGGAGCGCCACAGGGGCAGGTGGTGACGCAGATGCCAGCCGGCCACCAGAAAGCAGCAGCCGTAGTCGAGCTCTACATCGGGCAAGCAGCTTTGTGGCTCGGATAAAACAGCGACCCCAAAGTGTCTTGTTCTCCAGAAGCTTGTCAACTACCTCGATATCAGCTTCATCTGTCATCAGCTCCAAATCAAGTGACCTTGACAGCAACGCGTCCTCCGGCATTGACACCAGCACTTCCGCGGCGAAGCCCGTTAATCAGTCCACTCCGACCACCACACCCGCTAAAAAATTGTTGCAAGCAAAGGATGCCAAACACGATGTTTCGAGCAGCAACAGCGACGCCCCATCCACAACGAGGAATTCGTCTCTGGACACCATTGTTACAGCAGCTACCTCCGAACACGCATCCCACTCAACCGCAGACACGAGCATCACAATGCCACACCCTACGTCCGGCGACCCGCTATGGTCGACCTTCCGAACGCTCGATAGCGAGTTTTCCAGATTCGTGGCCAAGAACTCGACCCCCATGCGCATGAACGTAGTACGATCGACGCTTGTACCTTTTCTCCGCAGCACGTCACACCACCCATCCAACACGAACACAAAGCTGCTCGCCCCCGAAGACTTTGAGCGCCGAGCAACGATCCTGAACAAATGGTGGAACGGCCTTTTGGACATGTTGGACGCTGGGCAGTCCAGGCTGGATAGGAATGCTTTCGCCGCGTCCGCGGGCACCGGCCCTGTGACGCCCCCTCCTCCCACGTTGGGCACTAATCTACAGCCAGTCGCAGGCGTTGACAGACCGACGTTACTCGAAACCATTACTATACTCATGATGCGCCCAGAGTGGAGGTCCTGCACCAGCTCTTTTCAGCCGCTATCTCAACGTTCGCCAGAGGAGCGTGTGCGCGGCCGATCGTCAACACAGTCCACCGCAGACGAGGCCGAGTTGGCTGCCATTGACTTTGTCGCCCAATCCGCCGAGCATAATGTCCGGACCATGTTCGTCAACAGCCTTGCCAGGCAGATGGCTCTCGTAGTAGACAAGATGTGTCTACGACATGCGCCTCTTAGCTTGGTCAACTGGAGTGGCAAGGCATGCGCCTATGCCTTTTTCTTCGTTCCCGGGGTAGCGGACATTCTCGTGCGTCTTTGGCAATTGAATAGCGACCTTCTGCGCCGAACGTCTGACGAGTTGGGGCTTCCAAGGAGGAGCAAAGGCGAGAGTGAGGACCTCGTGGCGCTCTTCCCACCACATCTTGGACAGTGGGGTTGGACGTCAGTCAAGACACTGGGCAACAAGTTGCGCATGGCAGCAAAGCCACCCGTCACCCTGACAAAGCCTGCCTGGCACGGTTCCTGGGTCTCCAGATGGCGAGGAGGCGATACCGACTTGTTCTATATCTTCTGCAAGTACTTTCACATCCTTTGTGCTGACTTCATGCCGCAAGGCCTTCCTCTAGTTGAGAAGGCGCGTGCCCCCGGTTTCGTCCTGGTGCATGCTCAGCTTCTCTCGACCTTGGATGGCGCGATTCACCGTCAGGCCTCTATGGACGCATTGCTAGGACCACCGATCGCCGACAGTCTCCATGGCACCGACGCGACCATGACTGGAGCCACTGGGCTCTCACTACCCAGCAATGTCTTGAAGGGGATGGACGAGAACAGACTTGTTGCCCTGCTGAAGGACATGTTGTCGGGGAAGTCTGTGGTTGGATCCGAGATCAGGCATAATTTTGCCGAGTCATTCATGGCCGTTATGGTCGCCGCCACCAAGCGGACCTCCAAATATGACCATGCCGCCTGCTTCATGCTTTGCGACTTCCTCCAGGAGGCCCTCATGGCTTTCAACGCATACCAGGATAACCAGAACAACAGCATCGCCATCCCTGATACTCCTAGCAGTTCACTCGTTAACTATATTGATTGGCCCTTTTGGTTCGAGGTTAGCAAGTTGATTATGGATTCCAACAACACCATGTCGGAGATTCGTATCATCTCATTCCTTTACTCAGTGTGGGATGCTATCGTTGCTGATCCGGTACGCAAGGAGCGACTGTGCTGTGAGTGGTTGTTGACGGAGGAGACCTTTGAAAGGTTTTTCAATCACTGGTGTCCCATGGTCCGCGCCTACTACATGCGTCTCCTGTGTTGGCGTGTTTGCAGGGACACTGGAAGTATCAATGAGCTGGACAAGTAAGTAATCCTTTGTTCCTCGCTGGTCTTTGTACTGGTGTGCTGACCATTACGTAGTAAAATCTTCCTGCTTGTTTCACAGCGATTGAGAGCCGTCTGGTCACACTATCTCTGGATGTGGCAGACTGCTGAAGCTGAGGGTCGTATGCCCCCTTCAAGAGCACCGTGTCTCCCAACACCCGGCAAGCGATTCCTGATCATCCGAAGCGAATTTCAGCCGGCGCAGACGCCCTTGTACCTTGGCTTTGACTCCTTCACCACCTCCTTCCCAGGAATGGATGGCTCCTTCGACTACCAGTCCACCAGCAATGAAAGCAGGTCGAGCATCAGGGTCGAAGAGACTTCCAAGAAGAGATGGTCTCTTCTGGGCAAGGTTCTCTCTTTTACCGCTTCGCAGGCCCACCTACCTAATGGTGCCACAAACGGCAAGCGGACATGGGATGAAGAACTCGAGCAAGCTAGGCGCGAAACGGCTGCGGCCGCTGCAGCTCGGGCCGGTCCTCCTCCGCCTGGAAAGCAGAACTCCGCAATGAACGCCAAGCCGTCATCCGACTCGGGTTCATCAAGCGGATCTGCCCCTGTCTCTGATGCGGCCACCTTTGTGTTCCGGTTCGCTCTCACATGGCAAGGCACCGTCGGTCCCCAGCGCGACATGGTCCTGTACCGGCCTCGCCTTCCAGCTCCCGCTCATTCGAGGATTCTCAATTGCGCCGCCGTCTCCTCCGATGGACCTCTCAACCGCGAGGTCTACAGCAGCCCTGGCTCGCCTGTCATCAACTCTGGTCTCTCACCCTTCGCCCGTCGCTGCAGCGGACAATCAGAGACGGGCCTAATAAGCCACGTCCGCAACGCTCGTCCGCTCTCAAGCGAAGCCAGCTCAGAAAAAAACCCAAACCGCCGCCGCTCAACAGGCGGCAACGTTGCAATGTTCCACATTGGCGACTCGTCTGATGATGAAGGTCCGCTGGTTGATACTCGCTCTGCTGTAAGAATGCGAGACGGCAGCCCTTTTGCACGCGCGCGTTCGCCTCCTCCTACTGGGTTCGACAGCGAAGTCAACCGTCTGCACCTGGCCGTCCGCGCTCAGAAGCCCGTAGGGATTTATGCCTCGGGCGCGGTATATACTGGCAGAGCGCTGGCGGAGTGGAGTTTGGTGGTGAGCGAGTGCAACAGCTTTGTGGAGCGGAGGAGGGGTGAGGGTGTTTTGGGGCTGAAGGATGTGGAGGTGCCGAACTTGGGGGTAGAGGGGATGGGGTTGAAGAGAGGGGGTTAAAAGGCCCCCGAAAGGTACCATGATAGCTGTCGATACAGCGAACATGCGGTGGAAAAGCTGGCTGGAAGAAAGCCGGAATGACTTTTGGAATGACATTTCTCTCTGTGTTTTGGATTTGTCTGTTGTTGAGATACCCTCCCCCTTTTATCCCCTTTTAACGTGCATTTCTCAGCAATGACGGCACACCTCATGGGGTTTGCCTGCATCATCATTAACATCATCATATCATCATCATCATCTATCACCATCATGTATCCACCTACCCGTCTGTCTCTACGACGTCAACATATTCTCCTTATCACTCACCCAACAAGCAACAAACACTGGCGTTCACGGTCGACTTACATATCTCCTTGATCACCTAATTCGCTTCGTCATCACACGTTGACGCTTGCTCTGATTTTTCTTTATTTTCACCCTGCTGCATAGATCATACACGCAAAAGCTTCACGCATCCTTACATACTTGTTCATGTACACACGGTTGGGTTTCACAGCACACCGTTGGGGATTTTTGTGTGATATATACAAACACATAACACACATGTCATAGCTTTCTCAATTCTTCCGTTCATGGTTCCCGCACGGCGCAGGGCTGGCTTTTTTTGGTTTTTGGTTTTGGCTTCTCGGTTGAAACTTGGCAAGTTTGGGTGGAGAGAGTTTTTTTTTCTTTGTTCATTTTTCTTTCTTAGGGGGTCGTAAGTGTGGCATGGGGTGACAGGGCGTTGTGATGCCCCTGGATTGGGTGCGGTGATTATAGGTGATTATAGAAGGAAAAGTACTGGAGGCATTGATTACACTGGTGGTAATATACTTCTTGAATAAACTTGAGCGTTGCTGCGGCGAAGATATTGTGCGTGCGTGCGTAGTGGTCGTGTGCTGTGGTTGTGACTGACCATTTGTCTAGGAGGGAGTGGCCTTTGTGAGGATTGCGAGTGTGTCGAGTACTAGAGATATTTAGGAGAAAGTGTCCAACGTTGTACAAGATCTTATCCAAACAAACAATCTCGTATGATTGCCCGCCCATCACATTTGATTACCTCTTCCTCTCCATTATTACCCTTCTACTCTTTTATTCCGCTTCCTTTTCCCCTTATATAACTCCTCCTACCCAAATATTCCCCAAGAAGTAATCTTATTAACAACGCGGTAGTGACCACCAACACCTAACCATCACACAGAGGTATACTCACAGCCTTGTAAGATCTCAACTACACTAATACTCACTCCTTTCTCCATTTCTGATTGTAACCCGGAGATCTCCTCCCTAATTCACTATCTTTTTTTCATTCTTTTATCTACTTTGATCTCCGCAAATTACTCGATATTTCTTCTTTCCGGTTCGATGAAAATTGAAGATGGCGATTCCCTCGATCCCACCTTATTTACCAGCAAATGGAGGAGGGTCGAACATCAGATTGCATAAGACCAGAAATGGAGTCCGCTTGCGGAGGGGCGGGGGGGCCCCGTTTGTGGAGAGGATGGGGAAGGGTGGGATCATCTCCTGGGTGGGAATGAGGTGAGGGGGAGGGGAGGTGAGATGGGGGTGAGTGATAAATGGGAGGAGGAGGACTGGAGGATACGATAACTGAACGAAGACGACTGACGATACTACAACTTGGACCACCGAAAACATCCACTTGTTGACTGGCAACTGAGCTCACGATATACGAAGCTTGTGACCATCTTGGGAGTAACAACATAACGACAGCGAGGCTTGGTTCCGTCCGACTTTGTTCATCATTGGATTTCTCGTTTGGAGAAAAACCTTGGCTTCGATATCATCGGTCACTACCACAAGGCACTTGCGAATCCAAACGACCTGGTGACGGGAGCTTTGCGATCACAGAGTCCGAGACATCCTTCTACTTTGCGACTTGTTGACGGTAACGGGAACGACAGCATAAGCAGCAGGAGCAACAGGAGCAACAGTGAATTTGGCACATTTCCCATGTACATCTTCATCGCCGCGTATCTCGGTACAGCTACTTCGAATATCAACAAACTGATTACAACACGCTACATGAGGATGGGCCTTCAAACGATATCAGCCTCGGAGACAGCAGCGATCTGAATTCACTTGATAGAAAATCACTCACGACGGAACCAACGGCAACCTTCAGTAACAAAAGAAAAGCAAGGTTCTGATAGAAGAAGTTGTCTGCTTTCATCAATACGTACCTCGATTGAATCAACGGATCAGCTGCGGATGGATGGACGTTGACTGTCAAGGCACTCGCAACGAAGCTCCCAAGGTCAAGGTTTCCATCGCATCTTTGCGCAACTGTCTGGAGTATCACATCGATTCATTCCACTCCTTCTCGCCATCTCTTACAAGACTACAAGAAACCTTGAGAAAGAGAAAGAACAAAAACGACTCCTTTGATCTCGACGTGTCACATTCACCACTGCTGCACTAACACTTATACGCAGCAAGGGAAATGCATTACAAACAGGGGGTAGACATAGATGCTTTGGCATATGCAGATAAGGATTTCCCTACCAAAATCTGCACTAACCGCCTAGACTAAGCAGGCACGCGCAAGCACCTGACGGCGCGTTTGGAGTGGGGCGGTGTGTGTTTTTGTTTCGCGCCATGGCGGAACGGGAACGGGAAGGAAGCTCCTGTACGAGTTCGAGCACAAGTACTGGTAGAGGTACTAGTACCCCACTGTCGCCGCCGCCGCCGCCGCAGGAGCAGGAGCAGCAACAGCAGCAGCAGCAGCAGGAGCAGCAGAACACGTCTGACACGCGATCCAATCAGTTGTCTTCGTCGTTGAGGACTTTTACTTCTGCGACTTCTGCGACTTCCTCCTCGGTGCTGCAGAATACCTCTAACCACCAGGTACCGCTGCCGCCTTCCACGTCTTCGTCTTCTCCTTCCACGTCTTCTTTCAGTTCGTCGCTGTCGTCGTGGGTGCCTCATTCCCTAAAAGTTCTTTACCACTTCACTGCCGGCTCAGTTACTGCTGCTGCTGCCTCTACTAATAGTAGTGATAGTGGTGGTGATACGGTGCTAAATCCCAATGCGTCCGGCGGCGTGCTCGGCCGGTTGCTCACCAGTTCGACAGCGCAATCCACGCTCATGACGCGCAACAATTGGGGGGAACAAGTTTCTTGGTTGAAGAGATCGGGAAATTCCATTGTCGTTCCAAAGGGGCCTGTGTATCCTTCTGCTGCTGCTGCGATTCAGACTACGACACCAACAACAACAGGAACAACGATAAGCGCGATCGAAGACGGTTATTCCTCGACGAGTTTTCCACAAGATAACAATTTATTCCACTTGTATTCCTCTACTCCGGCTGTCATCAATCCACAAGTCAGTGGAAGTGGAAGTCTTGGAGGAGCAGGAAGAGGAAGAGGAGGAGGACCAGTCCAGCAGCAACAACAACAACCACTGGGACCACCACCACCTCCACCACCACCACTACAACAACCAACCCAACAACCAACTCCAAACCCAACCTCGACCTCAACCTCAACCCTTGCGGCCTCGAGATACACAAACACATCCTCGACAAATGACGCCCGACCCGCTACACGCCAACAGATTGCCCCCGAGGTAGGAGCATCGACGGATCAGGATTCACTTGGACTTGGAGGAGGAGGAATGGCGAAGCTCTCAGTCAAGAATAACCTGCCACGGCCGCACTTGGTCTCCTTGTCGTCGTCAACGACAGGCTCTGGGTCTAGGCCAGCTTCTGCTAAGCACGGAAGTGCCAGTTCCAGTACCTTTGATCAACAACAACAATATCAACAACAAAAGCGCCAGCGGTCGCAATCAGAAGCACGACAACAGCAGCAGCAACAGCAACAGCAACAACAACAACAACAACAACAACAACAACAACAACAACAACAACAACAACAACAACAACAACAACAACAACAACAACAACAACAACAACAACAACAACAACAACAACAACAACAACAACAACAACAACAACAACAACAACAACAACAACAACAACAACAACAACAACAACAACAACAACAACAACAACAAGCACAGCAACATGCACGCACTACATATGCACAAAGACCCCAACCCACACCCCAACAACGACCTCCCCAAAACCTACTGACACCTGCTTCAACCACCGGTGCCAGCGTCGGCCCGCTCCAACGCGCATACTCGGTTTCATTAGCTGCGAGACAATCCCCCTCGACAAACTTGATCCGTCCAAAGACCGACTCGCCAGCTCCCCACACTTTACACCTCAAAAACAAGAAGAACCTCCGTCACCCCGCCCCCACGCCCGACAGTCCAATCGTAGACGACGATATCTTTTCCGACGCCGTCGATCTTACTGAAGAACTCGATCATGACCACGATCTGAACGGCAAAGACAAAGAGCACACCGACAATGACAATACAGTCGCTTCGAGTTCGCTAATAGGGTTCGGCGATGACAAGTTACTGTGGCGGGAGGACTTTGCTGAGCGTGCAGACCCCGATGCTGAAAGAGGTGGGAGCAGGCCTCGCCAGGTCAAGAAGCGGAAGATATCAAATGACTACATCATGAAGGATGAGGATGTCTCGCTTTTTGATGATGATGAGGGCGAGGAGGACGACGAGTTTATGGATATTAATGAGCTGGTTGACGGGGATCGGCAAAGTACTCCGAAATCAAAGACTCCATCCAGGTTTGTGTCAACAAGACTGCCGCCTACAGTATCGCTGCAACGGGGTCGATCTCCTAAGAGGAAGGAGGCTTCGATTGAGAAGCGCACAACAGAGAACCTGCAACAGGCTGCAAGAGATGACGAACCGTCGTTTCTGTCGAGTCCGGATGTCGACAACTCTCGCAAGCGAAAGTCCTCTGGATCGCCAAAAGGTTTAACGACGCCAAGACCCCAGCCGGAGCAAACGGAAGAGGTCCCAGGTACGACCACCGCCAAGAAGCCACGGCGCAGTGAAGTGATGGACTCGGAGGACGAGGCATTCACTCCTTTTTCTGCTGGGTCGCTGCCTGGGAGTGCGGAGTTCTTCAGAAGCGGTGGGACCACCACACGGGAATTGGGTTTGGACGAAGACACGGTTATGGACACGCCTAGTAGGCCACCGGTCGAGTCCACTTTGCCAACTCTAGAGTCTGTGGAAAGTCGACCACCACCACCGCCGCCCATGGATCTCCCATCACAGCGAAAGCCGCTAGAGCCGTTGAACACTCCGCGCAACCAGCTGCTTGAGTCGGTCGAAAGGCCAACACAGCAGCCGTCGGTTGGTCCAAGTTTTGCACAGAGTAGCACACTCGCCGAAAGCTCCCTGCCGCCGTCAATGCCGCCACCAAGTGAAGACCCCCTCAACACAAGGGAGAACAGCAACTTCGAGGATTTTGATTACAAGCTTCACAAACCCCTGCTAGACCTTTTCGTCAACACACCCGCAATCTTGGAAAGAGAACTGAGCGCCGTTAATGACGAGCTTCAGGAGAACATGATCAAGCTGCGGGACTGTCTACGACTACCCAGGGAAGAAAGAGACAGGGCACGCGAAGAGGTGAAGAAGGAAAAGGAGATGCTCAAGCGACGGGACATTGCGCTCAGAGCCCTCCAGGAAGAACACAAGTTGTACGTCAAGAAACGCAAAGAGCATGATTCGATCAACGAGGAAATCGTTCGCGCTTATGCCGAAGAAGACGATGAGTATGAGGATCAGTTGATGGCGCAGTTGGACAAGCTGGAAGATGAGATTGAGGCTATCGTAAAGAGTCTGACAAGGCATATCGTGGCGGCGGGGATCACGGAGAAGAGCTTTGACCTCAAGAAGGAGGAGGAAGAGGAGGAGAAGCCGATCATCATAGCGACTCCGACGCCTTCGACGAGGACCGAGGCCCCGGTTTTGCCGACGGCCGAGTATCATAATTCCCAGCAGGTCATATTGCAGACTCAACATCCTGCTGCGCAGCAGGTTGCTCACCGGATGCCACCCCCTCCGACGCCGAGTTTTCAAACGGCGCGCCAGACTCCGGCGTCGTATCAGAGCAGACCGACCAATAACTCGTTTCCTGACATCTCGGCGGAAGAAGCCATGATGTTCGACGAAGAAGACCCCTTCATGGAACAACAGCACGCCCCGGCTTCTGCTCCCTTTCAGGCCACCCTTCCCCAGCGCAACAGCCCTTTCAAAACCGCCTCGTCCAAGCCAGTCCACGGTCACGATTACTTTGACGATGAAGACGACGATGCCGACCTCCTGGCAGCAGTAGACAGCGTCGAGACGTATACTTCTACGGCCGCCACCACCACCAACAACAACAATCACTTACGATCACAATCGGTGATGTCGACATCCACGGCGACCACGATCAAACCGAGGAAACGCAACGAAAATGCCAATACCAAGAAGGCCAAGTCCTTACATGCCAAGTTGTCGATGCCGCCCGAAAAGATGAAGTATGCGTGGTCGAATGATGTGAGGAAGGCGCTCAAGGATAGGTTTCGGATGTCGGGGTTCAGACAGAATCAGCTGGAGGCTATTAATGCTACTTTGGGTGGTAAGGTGAGTTCTCCATCCTTTACCTGTCTGGGAGAAACCAAGAAGAGAGAGAGGGGAGAAAGACGAAAATGGACTTTGCTGACTTTCGAAAGGACGCCTTTGTGTTGATGCCGACTGGTGGTGGAAAGTCTCTGTGCTATCAGTTGCCGGCTGTAGTCAGGAGCGGCAAGACGCGTGGTATCACAGTCGTCATCTCCCCTCTGCTAAGTCTGATGCTGGATCAAGTCAACCATTTGGCAAACCTGATGATCCAAGCTTACGCTTTCAACGGAGACATGAACTCAGAAATGCGCCGAATGGTGTTTCAAAAGCTTGATGCTGAGCATCCTGAGCATGAGCTCCAACTGCTCTATGTTACCCCGGAGATGGTGAGCAAGAACCAGACATTCGTCAACAAGATGATGGACCTCTATCGGAGGAAAAAGCTGGCTAGAATTGTTATCGACGAGGCTCACTGCGTCAGTCAATGGGGCCATGACTTCCGACCCGATTACAAAGCTATAGGAGAGTTTCGTAAGAGGTTCCCCGGAGTTCCGGTCATGGCTTTGACAGCGACGGCAACACAGAACGTCATCTTGGATGTCAAGCATAACCTGGCAATGGAGGACTGCCAGACTTTCTCCCAGAGCTTTAATCGGCCGAACCTCTACTATGAGGTCAGGATGAAGGAGCAGAATCTGATTGCCCGCATCGCAGAGTTGATCAAGGAGAAGTATGACGGCCAGACGGGTATCATCTACACATTATCAAGAAAGAGTGCCGAGAACATCGCCAAAAATCTCCAGGAAAAACACCGTATCAAAGCAAAGCACTACCATGCCTCCATCACCACCGACGAAAAGATCAGCGTTCAACATGAATGGCAAACCGGCCAAGTCAAAGTCGTGGTAGCCACCATTGCCTTCGGCATGGGCATCGACAAGCCTGACGTCCGCTTTGTTATCCACCAGCACATCCCCAAGTCGCTCGAAGGTTACTATCAAGAAACCGGCCGCGCCGGACGTGACGGCAAGCCATCGGACTGCTACTTGTACTTTGCCTATGGCGACATTCAATCCCTACGCCGTATGATCGCCGACGGTGAAGGTGACTACGCGCAAAAGGAGCGTCAGCTACAAATGCTCAACCGTGTGGTCAGTTATTGCGAGTCGCAGCACACGTGCCGGCGCGAAGAAGTGCTCCGCTACTTTGGCGAGGAGTTTGACTACCGGAAGTGTAGAGACGGATGCGATAACTGCCGGAACGGACGCATCTCGAAGTCGACGGAGATGAGGGATTTTACGGAAATCGCCTTCGCCGCGATCGAGGTGGTGAAGAGCCAGCAGCCCATCACGCTGGGCAAGCTGTGCGATATCCTGATGGGCAAGAGAAAGAACGAGCACGGTGGCGTGTGTCACTTTGGTATCGCCAAGGGGAGCACGCAGAGGGAGCTGCAGAGGATCGTGCTGCAGCTGAATTTCCACAAGGCGCTGGGCGAGGACAATATCATGAATGGGGCGGGGATGCCTATTACCTACTATATTGTGAGTGCTGTCCCGGTTGGTCTTACATATCTGGCTTTGTTGCTTTGCTAACACAGCAGCTCGTACAGACCGGCCCTGAAGCTGGTGCTTACCTTTACAATGGCAAGCGGTTGATGCTGCCAGTTCCCTCGAACAAGTCCGTCGAACCCCCGTCTCGGTCTAAGCAGCGGAGCCGTCGAGTCGACGAGGACATGGATGAGCAAGAACTTCCCACCCTGCAACGACCACCAACATCTACAAATGTCTCTTCACCCGTTCGAGCCACCAAGAAACGAAGTTCCAAAAAGGTTTTACCAACCCTTATTGCCGACTACGAAGAGCCCAGCTCCGACGGTCCTCACGGTCCTCTCCACGCCAACGGCTACGAGCGCGATAACTTTGTCGTATCCGATAATGTAGAACCCGAGGAGGAAGAAGATGCCTTCGAACCTGTCCGCCCCTCGCGGCGCGGCCCATCTTCCCGCGCTACCCGCCCTCAACACCGCCAAACCACCCTCTACGACACCCTTTCCCACACCCAACAATCCCAAACCCTCTCCCAACACCTCGCCACTTTGGGTCCGCCCATCGACGCCCGCACCATGCAAAACCCCCGCTACGCCCAGCTTGACGAGGTCCACCAGGATATTGTCGATGCCTTTGTTGAAGAAGTCAAGGTCTTCGAGGAGGACTTCCGCAACAGAAACCACATGCGCAAACCCATCTTTACCGAAACGCAGTATCGCGAGATGGCGATCCGGTGGACGCGCACGTTGGACGCGATGCGCGCGATCCCAGATATTAACCAGGATAAAGTAGATCGGTATGGTGCCAAATTCATCCCCCTTGTGGAGCGGTTCTGGGGGAATTATCAGGAGATGATGGGGGGAGGGTATGATAATCCTGCTGTGGCTGGCGATGAGGATGATGATGAGGGCCCTAGGAGGACAGGAAATGGAAAAGGGGGGAATAAGAAGGGAGGAGGAGGAGGAAATGAAGTAGTGGATTTGATTAGTAGTGATGAGGATGAACCTCCGGCTCGTGCACCATCGCGGAATCCGGGCCGAGGAAAGGCACAGTCGACACGCGGGGGACAAACCCAAGATAAAGGCCGAGCAGTCAACCGCCGCGGAGAACCCATCGCCGAAGAAGACGAAGAAGACTACGGGCTAAGCGACCCCGATATCGACGCCATCGATCCAGACGCCATCGATCCAGACGCCATCGATCCAGACGCCATCACCGCCTCCGACAACTCCGACGAAGATGATGATGATGATGATGATGATGATGACCTCGAATCCTCCCGCTACTTCTCCGGCTCAACAGGTCCGCCCGTCTCCAAAGCCGTGCAGGATGCTCGACTCCGTGAACAACTTTCCATGTACGCCTCCGGCGGCAGCTCGTCCAAAGGTAGCTCCGGCTCAGGTCGCGCATCAGGAGGATCTTCATCGAGAGCGTCGGGATCGGGATGGAGGGGTGGAGGAGCAGGTGGGAAGAAATATTACAGGAAGAAGAGGGCTGGTTCTACGGCTGCTGGTGGTGGTGGTGGTGCAGGAGGAGGGGGAGTTACGAAACGGAAGGCGAGTGGGAGTGGCGCGAAGACGGCGAGAAAGAGGGGTGCATCTACTGCGCCGAAGACAACGACGAGAGGGGGAGGAGCTGGGTCTAGGGGAGGTGGTGCTGGTAGTGCCGGTGGTGCCGGTGGTGGAGGAGGGAAAAGGGGTGGTGGAGGAGGAATGGGAGGAATGGGAGGGATAAGTGTTATGCCTCATTAGCATTTTATCGCATATCGCATTTATACAGTGTCTTATGGAAGGGAGGGGGAGGGGGAGGAAGTTAAGCTTCCGCAAGCTTGAACAGGCCAGACCAAAATGGCCAAAGAGCTCAGCTCAAGCTTCATCGGCTGAAAGGGCTATCGAGCTTGACCCGAAAATATAGCGGGATTACAAGACACTTACTTATACCTAAAGGTAGTCGAAAGGGACGAGCCAAGTCTATGGTATTCACCAAGTGCGCAACGTTGAGTTTTATCGTTCGTAGAGTGTTTTCGTCGTGGAGTTTTCATTCACTGCGGAGTTCTCATCATGAGTTTAATCGTGGAGTTTTCGTCGTGGAGTTCATTCATTGTGGAGTTTTCGTCGTGAACCTTTCGTTGTGCAATTTTCGTTGTAGATGTTAGTTCCGGACGATCAAAAGGGGAAGTGTTGAACGAAGAAGTCGAAAGGACAAGTCGAAAGGAATGATATGGCAATACCCAATACCCTTCAGAAAAAAACATCAATGACAACCCTTCAACCATAACACCAGCAAGCCAACACTCACGTACCTAGGGTAGGTACCTACCTGCCTACGTAGGAATGTCTTCCCCAAAGGTACCTCTATTCATGTTACGCTCCCTCCCATCGCTTGGCATCGCTTGGTACCTCTCTCTGCCTCTAGAAAATTGCCGACGACCTTCATGTTGGCATGGAAGTTAAGATGGTTTGAGAATGGAAGGGGATGAGAATGGAAGGGGATGCGGCTGAAGCGAGTGTAGAGGTAGTGAACAGGTAAGGTAAGGTAAGGTATTTTCAGGTGTAGTTTGATGTTGATAAGTAATTCGTGGAATGGTGAGCTGACTGGAGTTTGTGGGGTTGGGTGGGCTTTGAGGTAGTACGTTGATGGTGATGGTGATGGTGATGGTGATGGTGATGGTGATGGTGATGGTGATGGTGATGGTGATGGTGATGGTGATGGTGATGGTGATGGTGATGGTGATGGTGATGGTGATGGTGATGGTGATGGTGATGGTGATGGTGATGGTGAGGGTGATGGTGATGGTGATGGTAGTGGCAGCGGTAGTGCTTTGTTTACTTTGAAAAGGGGTTAGTTATAACACACTGGGTACACTTGGTTCCAAGTTGCGTGGGACTGTTTGGGACGGGAAGTGAGAGAGATCGTTAATTAGAACTAGGTTACATAAGCATTATAGACTACCTACCTACCTACCTACTCGACTAGGCAGCATTGGGGGAAGCCGTTGATTTCTCAATTGATCGCATTGAGGTTCTTCTCTCCATCAAGGGTAACTCATATAAACCAGCTTCTATGCTAGTGTAGGTAATATTTCCGTTCTATTCCGTTCCGTTCCGAAGCTCTCTCGTCTCTCGTCCTGTTCACAAAAGGTAATTAGATACTAGGTAGTTTCTATCCTTCTTCATTGCTAACTCCAAACTTATTTCCTATAAAGTGTAAACCGTTCTATAACCAAAAAGAAGATCCGATGCAAGAAAGTAACGTAAAGTATGCAAATGTAAAATGGATTGGAGTAGGAATTAAAGGATTAAAACAAATTGACGATAATGATGCCAAATCCCTTCTCTTTCCCTTTCGTGAATAATCCAGTTGGAGTGCCAGTTGCCAATGATGTGTGCCAGTGCGGTGTGGTATATGTAAAACCGAAAAAAAATGCCATATGCATGAAAATGTGTGTCTCTCTCTCTCTCTCTCTGTGTGTGTGTGTGTGTGTGTCCTCAAGTTTCAGCCTCCGTCTCCGTGTCTCATGTCCAGACTTCTCTCATATATAAATAGAGTGTTTCTTCCCTCATCCCTTCACTTTCTTCTTTAATCCTACGGACTCCCCTTTCCCTCCACTCCCACTTGACACTATGGTTTAACATTCCCCCTCAACTCCCCCTCCACTTCAGCCCTCACCCCTCTACACCACCTCACCACCGCCTCCTCAAAGTCCACCCACATCCTACCCCCTTCCTCCGGATTCTCCAGCTTGCCATCCTTGGCATACTGCAACCCCAGCGCGTCGCACTTGATCATCACCTCCCACCTGAGCTCCGCCGCCTTCATCCAGTACCGCAAATTATCCGCTGCCCGATATGGTTTCTGCGTGTCTGCATGGAAACTAGGGATAGCACCAAACCTCCTCCTACTTTTGCGTACCGCGCAATTATGCAGATGCACCAACCTAATCCCATTACTCAGCTCTCTCAGAAACGGCGTCGGTTCCGGATTACTTGACGAGCGATCAATGGGTGTCCACTTGGGCAACGGGGTGAGACTAGACAGCGGCGGGGGCAAGGGTAGGCCGGCCAACATGGAGTGAATAAAGGCTTCCTCGCGCTCAATCTGGTTCCCGTTCTCGTCGGTCGGCCAGTTTTCCGGTTTTAGCCAGGTCCAGGACTCGCGCTCCTTTTGCTCGGCGGCCTCCATCTCGTCTTCCTTGGAGAGCATGTCGCGCAGGGATTTGATCCATTGGTTCATGGTCTGGAACTCGTCGTCGCGCATGCCGCCAATGAAGCCGCGCGTGGCCATTTTCTTGAGAATGTCCATTACTGACAAGAGGTCGGCACGAAGGTCCTTTTCGGACTTGATGGCGTCTAATCGGTCCGGGCGCTCGTGGGAGGTGTAGTAGATTTTGGCGGCGCGAATGGCCAGGGTCATGACGTCGAGAATGTGCATGCCTTGGATTTCGTACCAGCCGGTGGGGTTGAGGGGGACGGTGGGGGTGACGGGGCTGGAGGATTCTTGTTCGGAAGAGTTGGGTTTGGAGGATGTGTCTGAGAGAAGGATGGCGGGTGGGACGACGACCCGGTCTGACGGCGGAGCAGACTCGCCCGCGGGCGCGGTGGCTTCGTTGGCTTCTTTTAGGGATCGCTCGGCGGCGTTGAGGGCACTTGTTAGCTCGGCCCGAAGCTCCTCCATCGATGGGGGTTTGGGGATCGGCTTTTCGCGTTGGTTGTACGTCGAGACCGTCGGCGGGAGCATATGTTGCTGATCTGTTTCCTCATCATAGTCCGAACCAAATTCCTCCTCGGGCGGCTGGAATTCCATGTTGTGCTCATCTCCTGTGGGCGACTTGATGTCGGGCTCGAGCCCTGGGGTATTGGGACTGCTGCCCATGGAGGCATAGCTCGAATCGTTTTCAAAGTTCAAGACCCTAGGTATCGTGTAATCGCCGCCTTCGAGCATGGACAGATCGAGTGTTTGGGCCTTTTGCTGGCGTTTACGAGCGAATTGGGCGCCCTTGCCGTCCAAAAGTCCGGTCCGGGCAAAGTAGTACTGCAGGTGGGCGATGCTTCCAAGACTCAGGACGGATTCGCGCTGGCGGGCGCTCTGGGCAAAGTCGGTTCCTTGAGGGCGCATATAGCCCCGTCGCTTACTGCTGCTTCCTGACGAGATGGTGGAGTTAGCTGTCAACGAGTCCAAGCTTCCAGTAGAGTTCCGTATCCACGAGTTATCCCGGGACCGGAGAAAGAAGTGGCCAAGCGTACTGATTTCGGAGCGGCGCGAGCTGACGGGAAAGGTGCCGGACGAGGAGCGCGAAAAGGCCGAGCCGGCGTCGCTTATGAGGGAGTCACGCGAGCGTTCGGTGGATTCTGATCCGTGGGAGATGGCCGAGGTGGCAGAGGCACAGCGCATGAACTTGTGAACGGGAGCGCCAACGGCCGGCGAGGGCAGAGCCTCGGGCGACTCGCACCGGGCGACGGAATCGTTCTCTGGTGAAGCGCTCATCCTGGATGGTCCGGTATGGCTTGAGGTATGTCTCGAATGTGTCTCGTTACGATGGGATACAGCCGTGTGTATATAACCGTTGGCAGGTCTCGGGTATCTATCTGCCTGCCTCGTCGTGGGCGGAGGAGGTCTGTAGTTTTGAATTTGGGCGCTGACGTATAGCGATCGTTATTCTTGTTCTCTTGACATGCCCCAAGGCGGAGAAGAGGCAGTGACAGTCGGTGATCAGAGGTTCGATCGAGGCTGTGGTGTATGTGGACAATTACAGTTAAAGCTAGAGTCGATGGCCAACACTCTCACGGCACTCTGGAAAAGAGATTGTCAAATCACAGAGTTTGAAGCCTTGTCTGCCCAAAAAAAAGAGATCCACAGCGGAAGGAAGCGATGGGGTAATTCTGTGGAAGAAGGAACAGAGAAAGAATGGAAGATGTCAGGCTTCGATGACTGAGTCAGGGGTTTGCCTCTGCTGTTGTTGTGTGTGTACGTGTGTACATGGATGGGCCTGCGGGCACAGGAAATGAGGAAGGGATGGTTTTGGTGATTTTGTCGTGTGTTGGACTGCCGCGGCGGAAAGTGGACAACAACGACGATGGGGACGGAGGACGGAAAGATGAGTGACTGGAGATGTTGGAGAGTCCATGTCGGAAGCCCATCCAGATTGGGTGACGGTGTGGTGTGCTATCGTTAGGCTGCTAGCACCAACCCAAACACCCCGCTCACTGGCGTCTCCAGCTGCTGCAGGTGCTGCCCTTGCAGCTTGGAAATGCACCCAGCAACGCCTTTGGCTGTTGGGCGGCGCTACTGCAATCACGGCAGTGTCAGTTGGAAATGGCCGGACCATTGCATGCGCCCACTAACAGCGACAGGCCTTAGTTGCCGTCTGATAGCAGCGGGGAAGTGGAAGGACAGTGGCACTGACAGGGGGCTACACTAACAATTTAGTCGTCACACATTTTCGGAGGATCTTCCTTTCATCGCTCGCATCGCCATCCTCCATCTCCGCCCCTCGGGGAAATCTGAGACCATACACAATTTGAAGCGAGCAAACAGACCAGTACGATAGCATTCGTGACCGAGACGAATCTCCGATGTCCTTTCAGTTTGTTGACATTGGACGGATGGCATTCAGGGGTTGGCTGGCAACTCTTCGGTGGCCTCCCTTGTAATAACACTAACAACCCGTCTAGGTCTACTAGAGAATCCCCTCCCCTCTACAAGTAGTGTAGCTTGACCTTGACGCTCGACTATCAACAAGCGGCCCGTTAGACCAGTGACTGCGTGCTTACCTACCTATCCTGATCTCTGACCTATCCAATCCAATGTCTATGTACACTACGTTCCCGTCTACATATCCCGAACAAGCCCCGTGGTCCCGTTACAGTTACATAGGCAGGGTATGCAAGCACGGAAGAAGAGCGGGTGCTGCCGAGTCACTGCAATTTCCTTGCCTGACGTATCTTGAGCATCTGGCATCTTCCCTGGATGCCGTTGTTTCAAGTTTCAGATGTTGACAGCTTGCAAAGTCTGTCTGTCTTTGACACTACAGGTACATAATCAAGTCAACGTCGTGAAGATGTGTCGTGCTTGGCCATGAGTGTCAAGAGTGTACCTATAGATAGATGGAGTCTCCATTGGTGGTGTGGTGGTGACACTAAAGAAGAAGTCCAGGTGGCCAAACAATCAAAAGACCGAGAAACACACAGAGCTCTGTTGTGAAACAGAAGCTCCAGAACCCTTGTCCTTTTTTTTTCTTTCCACGAGAAACAATTCTGTCATCCATTCAGAATATCAGACGGAAGACTGCCAACCCCACAGGTACGGACAGGGCTATGTACTATACTCGCCGCCGTTGAGAGCATGCAATGTCAGGTAGGTACGTAGCCGTGAGGTGCGAGGTGAGAGCCGTGAATAGGCACGTGTCCGACTCACTACCGGTACTAGTACACAGTAGGTGTGCCTACTTGCATTCGAACGGGAGTATGCAGCTGTTGGCGATGACGTTTTGCGATGTCGGATTTTTCTTATAGCTTCTTTGATCTGAGTCTCGATGGGATGAGTGAGACCTGAGACTGCAGTTTGACTTCACAACCTACCGTACCCGTTGGAACGCACATATTTAGATATGTCTCTCCCGTTGGCACTCGTTACCTCTGCGCATTCTTCATGTGCCGTCTCAGTGCGCCCTGCTTTTCCGTTTCACTGAAACTTACTGCCGAGAAACCCGCGATAATCCAGAGTATCTTTGACTATTGCCATGTCTCAACAGTCAGTCTATAAAAAGGTGGCATTCCTCTGAACTGACTGTTTACCACATCCGGTTTAGTGGCAACTCCGATGAGCATGATTTAGCGAGATCTCAAGGCTGTTGCTGTGTGCAGGGGTACCCTTATTTTGTAAGTGGACAAGACTCCTGAAGTGCCTCTGAAGTCTGAACCGCCCGAGTGGGAATGGCAAGGTAATCATTGTAATTGCGCACCCGAGTGGGAGGGGCAGGCCGAT